CATTAATCCATTTTTATAAATGACAGAGATAGAATGGAAGTTAGAGTTGCTGTTCCTTGAGTACAAACTGCCTTTCAAAATCAATAAATAAAATCAGGTAGGATATGCTACCTTTCGTTTTTATTTGTCCTATTCTGAACTCTACCGACATTTGGTTTAAGACAGTTATCAGAGTCAAAGAGATTTCAAAGAACACATCAAAACACTCTCAGTTCCCTTGAATACTTGCTAATGTGCAGACATGCTTATTGAGTACTTACCCATGTAGCCAAAAACTGACAGAGGCCTTTTAACAACTACTCCAGGTGTACTGAGAGGAACAAGAATCATGCTGTGCTGTTTGTGTCTAAATGGAAGAAAATCAGGTGTTAGGAAAATTTCACCAAGAGGAAAAAGAAAACACATGGTACATGGAGTTGCAATCTCTTTCTTTTTATATTATTTTTTTGTATTGCCATGTAAGTGATGTTGTCTGCAATGGGCACCATATAAAAAGCAAACACAATACAGCTGTGATCTGGGACAATAACAGTGATTTGAAAATCAGTGACAATGATTTGATGGAGGTGTCTCGCATTGCTCAGCATTGCTAACCAAGGACTGATACACAAAATTAAACATTTCCTCAAAACTATCACCTTTTTTTTTTTAATGAAATATCTAGACTATTTTAATCAAGAGTCAAACATCAGTTCACTAGTTTCAGCTTTGTTAGTTAATATAACGAGTGACAATACTCATTACCCTTTACTTTCAATGGCTACTTCCCCCCAAATTGCTTATCTCCCCACTGAATCAAAATGTTTGACAGGACAAATGCATTTTAACATTCCCAACATTCTTCCAAGACTCAGGAGGTTTTTCATTTCAATGTTCATCTCTGGAAAACAAGAAAGGGAATGACAGAATGTTCTGCTAACGTAGGAAGTTGCCGCTGTTGTTGTCATGTGCCTTGTGGTACAAACAGAATTTGCAATACAGTGTTTATCCTATAGCACCACACCAGGACTGCTTAGGAAGTAGTCCTTTGTATGTTGGGAGTCCTGGTGTGGTGCTGTAGGATAAGCGAGCTGCTGGCCTCAGGTTGGTGGTTCAAACCCACCAGCCACTCCTCAGAAACCCTATGCATAAGACTAGCTGATCATTTCATTATTGTAGACACTATGGAAAATTTGTATACATCCAATAATCTGGTCCACAGGAGCTCTGGTAGCACAGTAGTTAAACATGGAGCTGCTAGCCACTCCATGGGGAAAAAAATGAAATAGTCTGTTTCCATGAAGACTTATAACCTTGGAAACCCTGTGGGGTTCCACCATGTCCTACAGGGTTGCTATAAATTGGTATTGGCTCAATGGAAATGGATTTGGTTTGGATTATAATGTGATCCAAACAGCTTTAAGAATACAGCAAGTCTTTTTAATTTAGGAAATTCCACAGCAAAAAATGCAAAAATACTTACCAATATATCTTCCAAATACATTTTATAGTAAAATATTTGTGAAGAAAATAGGTGACATTTAATCTCACGATATATTCCATATCATTATGATTTGTGAGCCCAAACACAGCATTTTAAGTGAATTAAAGAGGCAGAGAGAACGGATGACCCTTAATCCTACATAAACTTCTTAATTAGAATTGTTTTATTACCTGCACTCTGGAGAATTTTTAGTTCTTCCCATAAGGATTGCAATACTGCATTTTGGATTCCCGGCTCCTAAAATAGAAGAAATGTGACTACATCATAAAAGGAAGTTTCTAGTCTAAACATTTCACCCTTCCAGATTTATTCCTGGCAAATAACATTTAGAGAGAGAAAATTCCTTGCTTTGCTAAAGAACAAACCACAAACTAAATCTCACACAAGAAAAAAATGTCTAAGCCAAGAAGGAACTCCATCATAGAGAGCAGCTTCACAAAAATTACCAGAAGTCACAGAGACCATCAGCAGCAAAGGACTCATGGAAACCATTTCTGTGTGAGCATATGGGAAAGACTGAAATGCCTGAAGAGTACTTCTTCTGTTTAACTTTCATGTTTTCTGACACATGGACAAGAAGGCATTAAAATGCCTACATTTATATTCCACCCAGTGATTGAGGAAGACCTAATTTCCCCAGCCATAGAGTTGGGTGAGGAATGTTTAAGGTTAATGTGCTGGACTATAAGGTCAGTTTGAACCACAGTGTCAGCGATTCAAGCTCACCAGCTGTTCCTTGGAAACACTATACAGGGTCACTATGAGTTGGTACCAACTCGACAGCACTTAACAACAATAAGAACAACAACAACACACTTAATCCCAAGGAGCCTTGGTGGTCCAGTTGGTTAAGCTGTAAACCGCAAGGTTGGTGGTTCAAAGTTATCAGCCAATTCAAGGGATGAGGTTGTCTGCTCCCATCAAGATTTATAGTCTCAGGAACGATAAGGAGCAGTTCAATTTGTACTACAGGCTCAGTGTGAGTCAGAATCAACTAATTAGCCGTGGGTTTGGGTTGGTTATACCTATACCCACTCATGTGGACCTTAGTGGACAGAGCAGAACTACCCCATAGGGGTTCCAGGATATAAATGTTTCCCGGTACAAACTGTGTATCCTTCTCCCACGGACTAGCTGGTGGGTTCAAACTGCCAACCCTTTGGTGAGCAGCTGGGCACTTAACTACAGCATCACCAGGACTTGAGAGTTACAGGTTTGATTTTGGATTTTTGTACCTGGTCCCAGAATATGTTACACATCACTGTTACACTATTGGTGGTGGTGGTAAGTGCTGTCAACTTGGTTCCAGCTCATAGCTACTCTGTATAGGGGTTTTAAGGCTGTAAATCTTTGCAGGAGCAGAAAGTCTCATCTTTCTCTCATGGGCAGCTGGTGGGCTTGAATTGCCAACCTTGTTGCTCCTAGTCTAGTGCTTGACCTACGGAGCCACCATGCTCCCATTATACCATAGAGCAATGGGAAAGGGTATTTGGAGCTGTCTGGAGTCCTGTGTGGCAATGTAGGATTAGCACGAGATTGCTAACCACAAGGTTAGCAGTTCAAGCCCACCAGTTGTTTTTCAGAAACCCTATACAGGTCACTATGAGTTGGAACCTGCTTTACAACACTTAACAACAGTAGCATATATGAGGCTCTGATCTCATTGTCAGTAAGCTCAGATTCTTACTATTAAGGGTCAGAAATTTTTTAATATAAATGTTATTTTTGTTGGCAGTTAAGTCAATTCCAGTTCATGGTAAAATGTAATGTTACTCTCTCTTTAATTCAAACTTTGATTTTATTACAGTTTGGGAATTTGTCACAGTTCCTCAAAGGGGCACTCTTGCAAAAAAAAAAAAAAAAAAAAAAATTCATCTATACTAGTAAATTTAAGTACTGGGGCTCTCAGTGAAAATACCATTTAACTAGCTTTTCAATTACAAGGCCATAACCAACTGAATCAGATTTAAGTTAAGCCTATTTGTACAAGGCCTTAAATTATGTATTTTTTTTCTAGTTTCTTGTAAAAAGTGGTTTCGAGGGATTTGAAACATATGAAGATTCAGCGAACATTAAGAATTATATCAAACAGTAGAATAATACCATAAAATCCCAACTGTTTAAAGAACAAACCCCACAGAACACATTAAAAGAAAGTATAAGGAAGTAGTCAGTAAATTCCAGACTGGAAAATCTAAAAAACAATCCAATTTCTTCAACAATTAAAATAAAAAGAAAAGGCGAGATAGAGAGGACTTTTATGACTCTATAGAAGAAAATGAAATAGAATATACAACTATAGGTCTTTGTAAAGTATTCAGTCTGAAGAGATACTCAATAAAGTATACAGTGGAACCCATCTAGAATTTTATAAGGTTCAGAATGAAAGCCAAATTGGTAGCTCATATAAAAGCAACTTGGAGAATTTCATGATGGCATTAACATGTGTTTATCTCCTCGCCTTCCTGAGATCCCACTGAAATAAAAGTATAAAAGAACAAAGACGGCATAGTAATAACAGAAAATGAAGCAGTGATGGTGAGGCAGAGGATGAGGGTGTTGGGGCTCCCCAATAGCTAATAGATTTTGATAAGTGTCGGGGGAGACAGATGGAGGTAAGTTGACCAATAAAATGGACAGAGACACCAGAGACTAAAAATTGATGTGAAGAAATCCAAAGGGGAAGGGTGTGGTCTCTAAGTCAGAAAGTATGACTGAAAAATAGGTCTACAAATGATGGCTATGTCACAGATTTATAAATGAGCCAGTGTGCCAACTGGCACACTCACAGGGAAGACACTGAACAAAGTCATTCTGATAACTCGTGGGGCTAAGGGAAGGGTATAGTCTGACAAATGCCCTCCCATCAGCCCACCCCAAAGTGAATTCAAGTCCTGTTCTGATAAAGTTTGCTAATATAATTCCTACTCAGCAGAGAAACATGACTGGAAAGGTTCTCTATTTCTTCTAATAACAGAGAAAACCTGAATCAGCTACCTAAGGATCTCTATCTAGTATGTAAAGAGACCTGCAGCATTCACAGAATGACCAGAATAAATAACCTTAAAATTTTACTGTAAGGAGTAAAGGATGGGAAGCAATATTTCTTAGATATTTTCTGATTTGTTTCCATATAGTAACCGCATAATAAGATAGTGGTTACGACTCGGGCTGCGAACCTTAAGGTCAGCGGTTCGAAACTACCAGCC